ATTACCGCAATATCCAACTTATTTTTTTTCGACCAGTTTTAAATGTTTCAGTTCAGATGCTTTAACAAAGCAGACTTAACTATACATTAAATTTATCTCTTAGCAACCGCGCTCTTATCTTATTAGGAGGATGTTTTACGAAATATTTAAACAAAGAAAAACTGCAGTCATGTAAGATATATAAATAATGTAATATATGACTAATTGATTTCAATTAAGGTGCCTTTCAAATATACACTCTCCCAAATATGGACACTTGTATAAGAACAAGATGATTTAAAAATGGTTCTTATATATATTCAGACTTTTACAATTCTGCTATTCATTGTCAGAATATAATGTAACATGATGAAATATCATTTTTACATCAAAAGGATGTCCGTGTAAGAATTAACACATAATCTAAATTTGTTCCTTCAATCGATCCGAACAAGGGCCATCTTCAAAGAGCCCTACCTCCCTTAAGAAGCATTTATGTCAAATCGATATGAACTGGTCCTTAAAATTTACTGTCTTCGTTTGTCCGTTTAGTTTCCCAACAGTCTGTATAAAACGTACTTGACATACTGAAACTGTTAAACAACGCAATCTTTGTGTATGAAATCCTCAGTTTGTCGATTATAGTAGTAGGTATAGTTTACGTTAACTGAATAAATGTAAATGGAATTTTAATCAGTTATATATTATATTAATTAAATCGTGACAGACCACTGCATATCATTAAATTGCTTACTATCCAAAACCGTTACATTCGAGTAAGCAAACTGTTCCTAACTGGTGTGATGTCTACAATGACAGTCAATAATATACACCCTGTATATTATTCCATTTAAAATAACAACGTTATGTAGCGCCCACGCGAAATGGAACACCCTGTAAAGCTAAAAATATTTTCTGTATATTCACCTGATTCCAGGCAACTTTTATTAAAACCATTTTTTTATAAAATTTACAGTTGGAGAGTTACAGAAGAATCCCTTGGAACACCTTGTATAAATTCTAGCTGATTCAAAATTTTTTCAATCATTGCAAAGTAAATATTTCCTTTGTATATTTTACAAAATTATATAATCTGTTAATCAAATAAATTATTTAAAAAATATTTCATTAGAATATTGCATTTTGTATCGGTGGTCCCCATAAGAAATTTTTATTTCTTCAAATGTTCCTCACATTAAACGAAATTTTATTAAAGTTAAACATTAGTATTAAAACAATAATTAAAACCTATTTAATCAATGCAGGAAAAATAATAAATTATCTGCATATTTGGAAGTTTGTACATACATATTCCGTTTATGCATCACGTGAATAAAATATGAGAGTACACTTAGCTAGAAATGTTTGACCTTCCCTTGTTGCTCTCGGGCTAGGTTCTATGGTGGCTGGCCCGCTGTCAAAAATCCTTAAGCCCGCCCTGATGTTAATCTCGATTCTAATGAGAAAAAAAAAGTAATGTAAAAGTACCAGAGGTAATTATAAAAAATATATTTTACTTGGGTCATATCAGACGTCAAATAGATAACTTGGTGCGCAAAAAAACAACTCGCCTCTGCAAACAACACGTCTGTTTGGGTGGTCTTGTAATACAATCGTTATTTGCTCCAGATAGCAAAAATATTGAATTTAACCCATTTTCGTTGGAACACTATAAACAGTGAAACTTATCATGCCCATAATAAATAGAAAAATTGTTTAATTTTCTGTAAAACAATTCCTATACTAGATACTAATAGGTACGGATACTAATAATAATTTAAAGGAATGAAAATAGCTAAGCGTCCGTCAATGATTTGTTCCAGTAGGGGCAAGGGTAAATAGGAATAAATATAGTGTTAGTCGTGCAAACAATTATCAAAATTGATGAAAATTTATAAAATTTTGTCAATTGGCATCTTTGTATATTGGATGTAGAAAACTAATAAATCCTGCCACAAAGTTCCCACATTTCGTATCCTGGTAATTGCTTTATCATAAATGTGATAATTTTTCCGATTTAATAAAGTTGTTTTCTAAAAAAGAATAAATTAACTGCAATCGTATTCCACTGTTCATAAATGTTTTACTAATGTCAGGACTACGTCATAGAACTTCCGTTAAATCCGGTACGGCTTGTGTAATAGAACAGTATAATGCGTTATACACATGATGTAATAAATGTTGCATTTAAATCTCGCACACCTTGAAATAAAGTGTTAAATGATTAGAATAGCAGATTATAAAAATCATTTTAAGGCGTTTGAAGTATAAGATAAATGTATCTTGAGAACTTGAGATATGTAGTTTACACAAAATTATTTGTTTTTGTAAAAAAAATAAAAGCTATTTGCCATCTTTGTCGAAAACAAAAACCACAGAACATCAGAGTTTTAGTACTCTTACTTTGTGGATATGCCTCGTATATAAATCATTCTGTAGTAATTTATGAAAAACGTTTCATAAACTTGAAGTCTGACTTTTTAATTCACAAATGGTACTACAAGAAAAATAATCACAACTCAAAATTTATACAATTCTGCCAAAATATAATCTTAATTTCCAAATAACAAATCGACTGAATTTTCATTTAGCAACTATTTAATTCAATTAGGTAGTCTTCTATTAATTTTTAAAGCTTCCATGCAATATTTCTCTACCTATTAACTAGAGACGTTTATTTTCAACAAAATTATTTACTTATTTACCTTAAAAATACCTGACGAATGATTGAAATATTAATTGGTCCACACCTTTGGCCTCACTCTCACTATTTCGTGATCCTTAGTGTCGCCATTATTAATTGTTGATAATAAATTATGTTTTGTCTGCTGTAAAGTATTTAAATTAATAAATAGTGCTTAACAAGGCCAAATATGTTATGTTATCAAATACTGAAATCAATGTTTTGACTGTTGCAGTGAAAAAATGCAAAGAATGAAATAATATTTAGTTTACAAAAAAAATAATAGACGAAAAATTTAACATTTTTCTATAAATTTCCATGTAGTATTCTTTCCTTATATTCTTTTACCTAGTATTATTTTTTATTCTGAACCTTAAACTTCATAATTATTTAGCTTCACAAAAAGAATGGTTTGTGTCCATCCACATTAACATAAAAAAAACATATTTAAAACCCGTAAAGTTGCACATTTTTATAGGGAAATAAACTATTAATTAATTTAATATGGAATATTTTCATCTCTGTTTCAAAAATAATGTTTGAGTATCATTTTAATCCAGCTCATTGCATATTTCAAGAAGAGAGACATGTTCTCCAATTTATTAGGCCAATTCAGATAATTTCGTAATAGGTTATCAGTTCTATCCCAGACATATTCAGTGGCACTCAGGTGCTGACCATTCTTAGCACCCATCCAAACATTCGGTTTATTGTGGAGGAAGAACAGGAGGAACAACTGGCTTCTCTTGATGTCTCAGTAGCTAGAAATCAACGACGGCTGGTTCATAGTGTCTAGAGTAATCACTACATCGTTAATAGCAGGGTGGGTGTAGGGGTACTATTATATTAACACGGACTGTGAAAGCCTAAAAAGATTTGTCCCACTGTGGATAAGCCTATTCTGGCTAATCAGTCTTCTAGCTGCATCGGTGACTCTAATGTCCTGGTACCCAAGATCACATCATTTTGAAGATATTTACTGAGTTAAAGATGAGCTTGAAAATACGCTTCTGCTTGGAAAATATTGGATTTGAATAAGAAAGAAACTGTCAACGTTATGAACAACAATAAAATAATGTTACATTACTTCAGCAGTCAACAACAAAGATCAACCTGTGTCGAAGAATTTCTGAAATATTTAAGGTGGGATGTTTTTAAATTGGCACAGATTATGTTCCGCATACCTACACGACGTGTTATGTGCGTTTCATTAAACTGTCACCGTTATTTGTCAGTCATGTTTATTTTTGCAGTCGTATAATGAAATGTGGAATATCCGTATTGAAATCCCTGTTACACATTTAATTTTCCGTCCGGTTCGTAGTCGGGCGCTATCTACGTAAGGTTTGTCAGTCATTAATATTTATGACTATGTTAATAGCTCGGTAAATTGCAGGTGATGAAGCACCACAATATTAAATGTTTTGTGCTAAATTGTTATGCATGACTTTACGTCATTTTTTATTGGTATATTTCTTAATAACATACAATTTAATAATGCAACGGGAAGACTTTCAGTATTGGACATTCATTAGAAAAGGAAAGGTTAAACTTTGCTAATGGGCTAAATTATTGTTGTTCTCGCCTTTTATTCATTACATAATTATTTTTGACATTTTTATTTACAATTTCTTTTTATGCACAGAGGATTCTATATACATACTAAAATATTACCATTTAATCAAACTTATCTTAGTTAAGTTTATCTTAGTTTAAGTTAATACTTAAAAAGACACAGGGTGTCAAAGTTAAAATTGTTTTCATTATTTTTATATAAAGTTTTTAAAACTACAGATATTGCACAAATTTTAGTGATAGGATAGGATCAGGTTGCTTTAGGCAACGACTTCAAATCCGGTCATAATTTTGCTGTCTCATTTTACAGGACGCCTCTTGTGGCACACGCCTTTTTGATATATGTATTTTTTTATTTCCCTCTTTTTTTTTCATAAAAAAGTTATACTTTTCAAGTGTCGCTGTTTGTAACTATTTTCTAGATATTCACCTTAAAATTTATTTTTTTTATTAATTTAAAAATATTAAGTTGCTATTTATTTCGTTGTATTTTACTGTTTTTTATTTAAAAATGTTTTCTTTACTTTCCTATGAACATTTAAATTTAATAATTCACAAAAAATCCGAAATAAGATAATTTTATGATACCCCGTATAAAAGATTATCGGCAAAATTGTAGCAGATCTTATTTTAGTCATTAAATAATTCAGTTTTCACTTATACAATTTTTCAAAATAATGTAATTATAATAATTCAAAATTCTTGATAATTTGTTCTACAATTAATTGTGTACAGCTTTTAATATATGTTTATTTTATTGCAGAAAGACCTCAAAGTGTAACAGAGAAACAAAGACATGATGGCTGGTTCAACAATTTGGCACATCCTGAGTGGGGATCTGTTGGTAAGATTGACATTTAATTGTTTTTAAGTAACCTAGTAACAGGGTAAGAACTTTTTTTGAGGTTTGTTTAGTCTCGCTATTATTAGAAGATATAAAAACTATCTAAGTACAGATGAGAAACATATGCTTAACTCCAGACAAACCTCAGTCATTTCTTAATGATTAGTCACAATAATTTACTAAAATCATGAATGTTCTGTTAACCCATGATTTATTTACAGTCTGTGACCTCAAACATTTTTTTTTATTTTTATGTTATCTAAGCGTTTGCTCAGAATATAAATTATGTTCTTGGTAAAATTTTTTTAATTTATTAGAAATACAAGTCAGCTGGCTAATCAGTTCTGGGAATTCTCCACCTTTTTATAGAAACCTGTAGCTTTAAGTTAAGATTTAAAGTCGATTTCTATAGATCTATTATCAAAAAAAAAAAAAAAATTAAGCGGACTTTCCGCTATATAGTTATTTTTCAAAACTGCATAATTTAAGTAAAGAAATAAAAACGTAGGATTAAAAAACAAGATTTGAATATATTATTCTCTCGCTAATAATGCTATAAATTATATGAGCGACGGCTTGTAGATATAGAAATGGGAAGGAATTTTAAAAACACTAGTTACAAAAATTAAAAGTTGAAAAATGCATCCAAAAATGTAAATCATTTTAGTCTACATTTATGTAAATATAAAACAAGATATTGTATTTCAGAGCTTTCAGTATATAAGGATAAACCACCCAGGTATTTATATTGTCAAAAAAAATGACAGAAATAGTTTCAATTTACTTTAGTATTAATTTATATAAACAGAGAGTTACATAATGGTTACTTATTAATATTTATGTTACGAGTCTGTAGAGAATAACAGAAAATGCACCTGTACAATATGCACAACCACAGCTATGAGTATTTATAGCAAACTATAAATATTTACATATATCAAACGTTTGCTGGTAGTTTACCTCTTTATCGAACTATAAATCCGTTTAATAGCTCAATCGTTAAAAGGAATTAAAACGCATAGCTATTAGAAGAAAATGATATAATTAGTTAGTATCCGTCTGATTATCTCTACATGTGACTAAGAAGATCAACCTTGAAATTTGAAAGTTGCTATAATTCAGTAAAAAAGGATTCATTGGGACAATCTAGTAGATCAAGGCTGATTCTTAACTGCATCTTTAATTTCAGAATAATTTACGAAACTGTCATCACTGCTCCAGTTTTGAGCAATTCCTCTTGTACACGAAAAAAAAAGAAAATTTAGTAATTTTGGAATGACGAATTGGTGCAATTTTAATGCCTATAAGAATGTTCGAAAAATGCACCTATGAAACTTATAGAAATGGCAGTGAAATTTTTCAAATATACCTACAGGGTGTTAATGAACTTATGTCAAATATTTTTGACACATGTCCGTTATGTCAAAATGAGGTAAATATACGGATTTTTGTTGAGTAAAATGTAATTTTAGAATCTGACTTACCTCGACATTGCAAAGAGCCACCTGTTGAGAACTGCTGATTTTCATAGAAGGTGTTCGATGTACCCACCATTTGCTTGCACACAAACTTCAGCGCGACGTATCCAATTCGCTCGCACGCGTTGCAACAGTGCCACATCCTCTCAAATCGTATTACAAGCCTCGGCAATACGATGTCGCAATTGGTCGATGTCACGAACTTCCGATTGCTAAATAAATGCGTCATTTTCAAAAGAAAACTTGGGAATACGTCTATTAAATGTACCTACTTTCGAAAACAGCACAGCAATCACTACAACAATGTATTACAAACTGACTTTCGAATATAGTCCGGCTTCATAGGAAACCTACAAACTCGTAAAAACTGTTACCGAATTGTTTGTAAGTACTCGCCGCTATAAAATACATGTATTTCAGCAGTTCCAAAACAGTTTTAAAAATATTTTTAGCTTTTTCTTCTATGACCTAACTTCCGATACAAGTTTGTGACATCAGTTAACTCAGTTTTTGCTCCTTTTTCACCTCTTTAAATTTTTGGCATTAGTACATTAACACGATGTATTCTGTGCTAAAAATAAATAAATATTAAAGGAATCAATTTGTAAAATTCGAGTTACAATTGATAGTAATTAAATTATTAATATTATTAATTATTTAATCTGCTTCAGCGTTATATGACTATTATTTTTTTTCAGACAGTCACCTCATCAGGCGAGCCCCATCCGCCTACTCAGATGGGGTGTACATGCTTTCCGGCCAGAACCGGCCAAGTCCTCGCAAACTCAGCAGGTTATTCATGAAAGGAATAGACGGGCTAGGTTCGATGAACAACAGAACAGCCCTCCTGGCGTTCTTTGGGCAACTGGTGACCTCGGAAGTAGTAATGGCCAGCGAGAGCGGATGTCCAATTGAGATGCATCACATCGAAATTGAAAAATGTGATGAAGTATACGACAAAGACTGCAAAGGCAATAAGTACATTCCATTTCACAGAGCCAGCTACGACAGAAAAACTGGACAAAGTCCGAATAGTCCCAGGGAACAAGTAAGTTCTTCACAACAAAGAACTTGTTATGATGCATAACGGTGGATAGTCATTCTTTGATTTGATATGTACAATTTTTTACTGGGTTCATTCCGGTCTAGACGACAAGGACAAAAGCTTGTCGCCTTGACGAAATAATCAATTCAAGTTATATGGAACAAATTATTTTTTTATTATTATTGCTAGCGCGTTTGGATAATTAGGTATTTTTAATCTATTGTGTAGTAGTACACCTATAACTAGTACTTAAATAATTAATTTCATTCATATTATCCACTAAAGCCTGAATGAAAACAATTGATTGCAGCAAAGGTAATATTTAACTTATAATAGTTGCTTAATCATAAAAGATTTACTTAACACTGGTGAAATGCTAAAGGGAAACAACAATATTATTAATATTTGCAACAGAGTTTATGAAGTATTGGAAAGATAGGTTAATTTTTATCAAATAAATTTGGTTCCAAAAATCATCAATGTCTATCGTACATAAAAACAGATACCCACTTAAATACTTGTGAGGGTTGCTTTCGGTGTGCAGCAAAATAAAACTCTCTCAACGGTAAAAATAAACGTATTTTTATTGAAAACAAGTTAGTGAAAAAGAATAAGTTGTCGGGGCGAGCGTTCGCTGGAGAGTCGTCGTGATGTGGAGTCCCTCGCAGGTATAAGTATCTGGTCCTTGGCGCTAATCTGGCGTGGTCCTCTTCCGGGAACCATATCTCGCATTGCACATTGTTTCTTGTCGTTTGCAACGCAATATAGTAGATGTCCACCATTTGAGCTCATTTTTCAATAATTGTCTGAATTCTGCCATGATTTGTTGCAGGACGCCAATTGTCCTTACACCTTCCCATATTTTTCCAAAATGGGCAATATATTTCACTATCCAGCAATCGCGTGCTAAAAAAACAACCAGATGTTCGATTTTGCATAGGTAACGTTTGTATATTTGCATTTAACATAAAAAAAGTAAACATAAATGCATAACAAAGAATTTTACATTATAATATACACTAGAATTTTTTTACATTTTTGTTGAGTTTATGTTGTACATGTTTTGTTGATCTCAACTTAACCCAAAGAACATATTTTTATTTTATATTATTTTATTTATATTTTTTTATTGAGTTCATTGTCTATTTTGTGGTAGATAAGTTACGAGTACCTGACGAAAAACTGTATTTCCTGTTCATTCATTTCTTTTTTATTTAAAAATATATGTTTTTTGTTGCTTCATAATACAAATAAAAAAGCTCCTTAATTTTTTGCCTTTGTTCTGAATTTTTAGCTGTCTGTTGCTTATCTGAATTTCACTTGAAAATTGTTTTATTTGACTTTCTAAGAGCCTCGTACATTTTACATATTGCGTACTGATAGTCAATTTTAAAACGCAACGAAAATTTTAATTTATTGATTTATACAGAAAATAGACATCCAACTAACTTTACACGAACACAAAACAAATATTTAACTTCAGTTTTAAGCAAATACTGAATGTTATGCATAAATAAAGTCATTATTGGAAAATTAAATAAATATTACGTATATTAACTGGTTGAAACATTATACAGGGCCCAAAAAGGTCCCTAACCCACGATAATATTTCAGGATTAAGTCCTATCAAAAACAGTTGCAGATATTAAATGTGGGATACCAAGAAACCAAAATGTCAATCACCTTGGATTTGATCTTGATCTTAAGTTTCAGGGTTAAGTTGAAAATGTTAAATGGAACACCTTACTTTATATCCCAGCATTCGATAGAACACCAAAATAGGGTCAGAAAAAGTCACTTGTATGTCATTTGGACGTCAAGCTCATTTTTCTTTGAATAACACGACGTGTCTTTTTGGGACACCCTGTATATTTGAAACGGAGTATTTACTGTAAAAAAAATAAGTGAGAGGCTTTTGGCTTTTATGCAAAACGGCCATTGTCTTCGGTTTTCTTTTTCCCGAATAACACGAACTAACAATGCAACTTTTTTAATTAATTAAATTTAAAAACTAATATTAAAATGCCAACGACTCTTTGACTACAATTTTTTCCGCCTAATTAATTTTAGATTCTTGTGTTTTAATAACTCAGCGACGACATCTTTATTGTTATAATTAGCAACAAATAATGAAAAAATAATTGAGCTTCAGATTTTCTAACTGCTACGTAATTTCTATGTTAAGAAAAGAGAAAATGTAATAATAACTCATTCTTTTCATAAACTGGCATCCGAGACCTTGTAATAAAAAGTATATTGCTATCCAATCTAAAGCCGATTGTATTTTCACTTCAAATTTAAAATTGTAAACCGGCAGTTTCAATTTTTCAAACGATAATTTTATTGACAAGTTCTGATTACGGAAATAAGTAGAGTCTCATCAGATAATTGACATTTAATTAAAAATGACATAAAATGAACAGTGTTGCCAATTTATGTTTGTATTTAAATTTTAAAAATGCATCTTTACGCATAATGAGTACGCTGATGTGTTATTTTATTACCTACGGCTTTTCCAATGGAAATTAACGGGCACTCATAGAGAATATCGGAGACAATTTCCTAATAGAACGGTTCAAGATGCAAGGGTGTTCTCTAACACATTTACACAAATTACGTGAATCCGGTTTTCTTCCAAGTAGTCATTATCATTCTGAACGAGTAGATAACCGAAATGCCAATGAAAAAAAATGTGCATTACACAAACAATTAAAATGAACAAAATTTTCAACCAAGAGATCATGCCAGAAGATTGGAATTTTGTGAATTGATCAACGCTAATCGTCAACTAGTTCCAATGATGCTTTTTACTGACGAAGCTGATCCATTAGCACCCTAATTAGCGCTCTAATACATAATTTGCATACATTATCGTCTTTAGATGAGTTTTTAACGGAAACGGCTGCTCCTAGAGATAAGGCGTACATTTCTTAAGTAGAAAAGAGAGGGAAAAATGTTTTTCTATTCCGAAATGACATACACCGTGGCACAAAAAAAGTTGAAGCGATTTAAAAGGATCCTAATACCCAAGACACCTCCACATCCAAAATTTCATGAATTTAACTCAAAGTAGTCGAGAGTTATTAAAAAAGTAATTAATTTTCGTTTCCAGACCCAAGTTCATAGGAAATTGTTTGCTTAAAATTGAACGTAGAATAACATACTGAAGTATATACATCTCCTCCTGAAACACCCTGTATTTATTTGTATTAATAATTTTTCAGTTAAATCAAGTCACCAGTTGGATAGATGGAAGCTTCATATACAGTACAAGTGAGCCTTGGATAAACGCCATGAGGTCCTTCCAAAATGGCACGCTCCTAACTGATAGTACTGGCACAATGCCGATTCGCAACCACGTAAGGGTTCCGTTATTCAACAACCCCGTCCCTCACATGATGAAGATGTTAAGCACAGAGCGATTGTTTTGTAAGAAACACCAAAAAAAAAGTGTCCAAAGGTTCTTCACAATTCCCTATTTGTTTTTAGTACTTGGTGATCCAAGAACAAATCAAAACCCTGCGTTATTGACGATCAGCATAATATTCTTCCGGTGGCACAACGTAATTGCTAATCGAATCAAAGAGCAACACCCCAACTGGAGCGACGAAGACATATTTCAGAAGGCCCGAAGACTAGTCGTGGCAACGCTGCAAGTATACTATCGAACTGTCTTATCAAATATTCACTAATAATTTAAATTGTTCTTTACAGAACATTATAGCTTACGAATACATACCGGCGTTTTTGGGGGAGCAGTTACCGCCATACGAAGGGTACAAACCCGACGTCCATCCGGGGATTACCCACGCGTTCCAGAGCGCTGCGTTTCGATTTGGACACTCTTTGATCCCTCCTGGCCTTTACAGAAGGGACGCGCAATGTAACTACAAAAAAACGGCGATGGGATATCTCGCTTTGAGACTGTGTTCGACTTGGTGGGATTCAAATGTAATACTTACACTTATAAATCTATAATCGAAGGTTATATTATTTTCCTTTTTAGGATGTTCTTACGAACAATTCCGTTGAAGAACTAATAATGGGCATGACATCCCAATTAGCAGAGAGAGAGGACTCGGTTCTTTGCTCCGATGTAAGGGACAAATTATTTGGCCCTATGGAGTTCTCCAGACGAGACCTAGGAGCTTTAAACATTATGCGGGGTAGAGACAACGGTCTCCCAGATTATAACACGGTTAGGTCTTACTATAATTTACCAAAAATAAAGAACTGGAGAGACATCAATCCGAAATTATTTGAAGAGAGACCGGAACTTCTCAGACTTTTGGTTGCAGCGTACTCGAATAACATCAATAACATTGATGTGTACGTTGGAGGGATGCTGGAAAGTTACGGGGGTCCAGGTGAATTATTTAGAGTGGTAATTAAAGAACAGTTTGCTAGAATAAGGGATGCAGATAGGTTCTGGTTCGAGAACGAGGCAAATGGGTGAGTGTGTAATATATTCTGTCCATGTAAATAATTTTTTGGTATGATTATTTTAAATATTACTGCGTCATTGTACAGTAACATGTACATGTCTGCATCTGATCTTAAGCTTCGCATCGATCAATTTATTCGATATGTATCTAGCGGCACCCTAGTGCTGCCCTGTCGGCCTGCATTTCATTGTCGTTTGTGCGTGTGTAAGTGAGTTTGACGCTTTGCTTGGTCGAGTGTAGGGCACGTGTTTTTATGGTAGCCTTGATTCTATACTGTGAACATAGAGCGACACACGGCTTGAACATAATACAAAGTACTACTGTTTATTTATTTGATTGTGTCCACAAAGTTTCCAATGTCTACTTATCACGCGACTATGAATTTTTTATGTTACAATTAGGTATGTAGATACAACAGGAGACGTTGATTGCATTCTCTAAAAAATATATTTATGTTTTATACACGGTTTTTGTACTATTTTTTTATTAATTATACAATTAAATGGTTACTGAACTAAATAAAAAAAGTTGTTTATACTATTAATATGATCAAGATAGATTTTGAAATATATTAAATTTATTAATCTAACGTTGATACAAATCCAATTTCATACTAATTTGTTATGCCAGTTTTTTCCTGTAGTACAGTACAGAACATTTCTGCTTTTTAATGTATAATTTATTCATAAGAAACTACTGGAATTTAGTTGGATACTTACAGAAAACCATAATACCTAAACCTAGTCTACCCTATTATATGTATATAATTTTCAAAATAAATTAACCTGTCGTTGTCATGACATCAATAACTAGAGTTGTTCCTTTAAAATTGTTTTTCTATTTTTTCTTGATTTTTTGGCCGATTTTCTTTTAGTTCGGCACATACGTACAACAATTCGTAATAATACATAAGAAGTGTAAATGTTTTCGTATTCCGAACTCTCTTAAAGACAGTTTTTCATAAATTCATGGAATAATTATTTTAACAGAAATTGAAATATGTATATTAGCATTTTTTCTTTTAAATCCCCTAAGTTCTAATTAAACAGGATATGTTGCTTGAAAATATTTATTTGTGGAAATAAGATTTTAATTAAATTATTTTGTCTAATCAAAAATGTCACACTAATCTTATTAATGCAAAGATTAAAGATAATATGTTGTATACGCCAAAGAAATAAAGGGCTTGGTTATATTTTGAGGCTAAAATGATCTGAAATCTATTTTTAATTCTTTGTTTCATTGAAGTGATCTTATATAAGTACTAGCGGCCCGTCCCGGCTTCGCACGGGTGGACATTTATTTTAAATATTTTTGGATATAAAAAATATAGCCTATGTTACTCAGGGATAATGTAGCATTCTAATGGTCAAAGAATTATCGAAATCCATCCAGTAGTTTTTGAGTTTATTCGTAACAAACATACATACATACAAAAATACAAATCTTTCCTCTTTATAATATTAGTATAGATATAGATATATTTGGATAAGGATTAATACAAAGACATAAATAACGTGGTCTATTAGGCATTGTCTGGTTTTTGTTAACATTTCTTTTAAAAAAGTAGTTATAGTGCCATAACTATAATAGTTGGACATATGGTACCACGAAGTTTTTTATAGATATTGATATATTCTTTAATATTGTAGAACATTTTTTTGTTCTATCATTCATAGTTTCTGCAGCGCATGCGATGAAAGACATTTTATGGCAATTTTTTTCATACTTTGGTTTACATTATTGAAGTTTTAGTAGGGATCCTTATTTACTTTCTAGTAAAAAATATAGCCTATGTTACTTAGGGATAATGTAGCATTCTAATGGTGAAAGAATTATCGAAATCCGTCCAGTAGTTTTTGAATTTATTCGTAACAAACATACATACATACAAAAATACAAATCTTTCCTCTTTATAATATTAGTATAGATTTATTCTGCTTGTTTTCTGATAATAAGCATTGTAAATACTCTATAATATTCAGAATTTATATGGATCTTTAGTATTTTAATACAATAGTGCAAAAATATATAAAATAAATTTGAAAAAATATACAGTAATAGTTATTTATTGTATAACTGTTTTAAGTAGCATTTTATCCATGCAATAATGTTTAATATTCTTAAGTGGATAGAAGGCAATTAAAACACGAATGCAATACAACGTTTTATCCATAATACATCACAATCATATTTGTGGAGTCTAGAATTATTGGAATTTAATAAAAATATATTCACACGACTTGATATTTCTTACTAGTACTCAATGAAACGTGGTAGGTTTTGTTATAACTACTGGTTGCTGTGGTTCGTTGTACATTATCAATTATTTAATAAACAGTTCTATCCACAGATCAGTAATATTGGTTCTATCAGAATTTGGTAAAAATGCAAGAAAGTAATTGTGTTCCTGCGACTGTTTTTTAAGAAGCTCAAGAAGCAATTTTCCATTTATTGCCAGCGAAATCCAGGAAACATTATGAAAATGTGTTTGTCGAATTTAACGAATGGAGGGAAGAAAACGGAGGGTAATGACAATAAATGAAGAAGTCATGCTATCGTATTTTTTAAATTTGAAGAAAAAAAATGCAATTTCATCTAAGTGGTCGAAGTATTCGATGTTGTAGGCTACTATAAAGGTCTACAATAATATAGATATTGGAAAATATAACTAACTTACTGCTTATTTGAAGAATGAATCGAGAGGGTACAAAGCAAAAAAAGATGCAGTATTGGAAAGAGGAAAACATATTGAAGAATGAATTAATTTAGGTTGCACTAATAATGGGGGTTTCTGGTGCCTGTCGATGCTGCGAATTGACAAATTTGAAAATTAGTGACATACAGGACGTTGGCAGTTACCTACTTGTTTCAATACCTAATACCAAGACGGGCATTTCAAGAAAATGTACAATTATAGAAGGATTTTGCGTGAACGCTATTGAAATATGTAGAAAATGTACTTGTCAGCCTGTTGGAATGAACACATTGGCGAAGGTACCCTCAATAGTTGCTTCATTCCTGAATATCGCAAATCCAGAAGCATATACAGGCCATTGTATGAGGCGGATTTCAACTACTTTATTGGCCAATAATGGTGCTGATCTTACAACTATCAAATGACATAGTGGATGGATGAGCTTCTCTGTAGCAGAAAGTTTTGTTGAGGTGTCTATATCTAACAAACTTGATATTATAAGGAAAATCCAAGGAAAATATAGATGTTCCTTACAAGAAGAGGCATCCGTAACTTATGCAAATTCTTCACAGACTTCGGCAGATGTTATGCGTTCTGAAAATGTTGGCAACAATGCTACAAGGGTTGTTATTAACGGAAAGGAAGTTAATACAACAAAAAACGAAATGTTTGTTACAATAAATGTAAATGTTAATGTTAATAAGTAAATAAATTAAATTTGATTTATTATAAAGCTACTTTATTGCACTAGTGGATAAAGTATCACTTTAGACGGTACATATGTGTGGATAAAAGTCCGATTATAAGGTGATTGTGGATAAATAATAAAATAAATGTGAAATCATTTTGCTCGTTAATGAAAATCTATATAATAATTTAGGAAATAAACATTAATACATAGATATTTTTTGTATATTCGTCAATCGACTTACTGAAATATTTTAAAATTAGCAAAGTAACTACTAATATTTATAAAAATATGTAACTATAAATACTTTTATTATTTCAATTATAGTGAGACTGTAATAGGTACCATTTCAAATACATTTTGCAGATCTTCTATGGTTTATTTTACCCTTTACAATAACTGTGTAGTTGAAATATTTATCAATAACGATTCAATCGACCAACTGTTGTGATATCCTGTGTATTCTTCCAGAATATTTTCAAAAGACGAAGTAAATGAAATAAAAAAAATTACATTGTGGGACGTCATAATCAACAGTACCAGCATAGAGCCTAATGCCATACAACGAAACGTGTTCTTCTGGGTCAAAGGAGATCCATGTCCTCAACCGATGCAGTTAAATATATCTTTAATGGAACCCTGTAAAATTTTAAGTGGATATGATTATTTTGAGGTAACGCGATTTTCTTAAATATACGCCAAATATTAAGTAAAAAAATCTTTTAGGGCAACGAATTGGTTTACATATACGCTTGCGTATTCCTAGGATTCGTCCCCATTCTATGTGCAGGCGCTGGTTATGGCGTGGTAAAACTACAAAACCGCCGAAGGCGACGTTTAAAAATAAAACAAGAGGAATTACGGAACGGAGATTGTAAACTACCTGTAGATGCGATGATCGTACACGAATGGCTCCACGCGAATCACAAACGGGTAGTAAAAATTAAATTTGGCCCCGACATAGCCATAAACGTAATTGGAAGAAAAGGAGAAAAACTACGGACGGTCAGTTTGAAGAATGTCGACTCTGTCGTTATTGAAGAATCGCTAGACGTTACAGCCAAGAAGAAGCCTATGATACTGATTCACGTACCAAGAGACCACGATTTAGTCATAGAACTAGACTCCGTTGGCCTCAAGAAGAAGTTTTTAACCAAGCTAGAACTGTTCTTAACATCTAACAAGAAGAGTTTGATATGTACCCAGGTAAACCATTCTTATCCTCGAGTTTTATCAACACCTAATATTACTGCATTTGTAGATAGTACGGGAAATCATGTTGGCGAAAGCTGAAACCAGGCAGAGACGGGAGAAAAAATTGGAACATTTCTTCAGGGAAGCATATGCATTAACGTTTGGCCTAAGGCCTGGAGAAAGACGAAGAAGATCCGACGCCACAGTCGACGGGGAGGTAGTTACCGTAATGAGAACGTCGCTGACCAAAAGCGAATTTGCAAGCGCACTAGGCATGAAATCAGACGCAGTGTTCGTAAAGAAGATGTTTAACATTGTTGATAAAGATGGAGATGGAAGAATCTCCTTTCAGGTAATTCATTTTAACTAATACAAATATTTAGTTCATTTTAAAATTGACAGGGCTATGTTCTAATGTCTTGATACAATTGAATATATATTTCAGGAATTTTTAGATACTGTGGTGTTATTCTCCAGAGGTAAAACTGAAGACAAGCTACGCATCATCTTTGATATGTGCGATAATGATGGTAACGGTGTGATAGATAAAGAAGAACTATCTGAAATGTTAAGATCTCTCGTGGAAATTGCTAGAACTACAAGTTTGTCCGATGATCACGTTACTGAGCTTATTGATGGCATGTTTCAGGTAAAATTTAATCAATGATTTGATTATTGATCAATTTAAGCAACTTTTGTTTTTTAAGGATGCCGGACTGCAGCATAAAGATGTTTTAACGTACTACGATTTTAAGTTAATGATGAAAGAGTATAAAGGAGACTTCGTAGCGATTGGTTTGGATTGTAAGGGCGCCAAACAAAATTTCTTAGATACCTCCACAAATGTAGCTAGGATGACAAGTTTCCATATCGAACCCAGCTTAGATGTTGAAAGAAATTTCTTTAGGTTGAAATGGGACAGCCTTACGACATTTTTGGAAGAAAACAGGCAAAATATATTCTATTTGTTTTTGTTCTACGTGGTTACGATAGCGCTGTTTGTGGAAAGATTTATACGTAATGCATTTCATCTTCATTCAATACAACACAGCTAAAATTTTTTAAAATTTTAGATTATTCGTTTATGGCGGAACACACGGATTTGCGTCACATAATGGGAGTTGGGATCGCAATAACTAGAGGATCGGCGGCTTCGTTGTCTTTCTGTTACAGCATCTTACTGCTAACTATGTCAAGGAATTTAATAACGAAACTAAAAGAGTTTTCAATTCAACAGTACATACCGTTAGACACAAATATACAATTCCACAAAATAGCCGCATGTACGGCTTTATTCTTTTCATTGCTGCATACTGTAGGTCACATTGTGAATTTTTATCACGTTTCTACCCAACCAATAGAAAATTTAAAATGTTTAACCAACGAGGTTCGCTTCCCTTCTGATTATAAACCGGGTATTACATTTTGGTTATTTCAGACAATAACAGGTAAGTTTGCTCTTTTCTCATTTTTCTTTATCAAATGTACCTCCTAAGGTAACTTTTAAACAATACCTTATGGATCATTATTCTATCTCCAGCAAGATTACAACTAAGAATGTAGGTAGTAATGACTAGAACGCGTACTTTTAGTACAATTTAAGCCATTATAGGCCCAAATGCTTTACGGCTTAATTAATAATTCCTGTTACTTTTTAATTAAGTTGGCAAGCATCCATAACCACGTAACCCAAAAATCCAGGGTGTACGAATGTGTATAACCACAAAATACTATAAATTGAAACTATTGGCACGCCCTTCGAAAAAATCTTATCATACTTCATCAACATCGTTCAAGTTTTGAGGTTATAGGGTTATAGTGCAATAAATGAATTCCAACGATTTTCCAATCACTGAATGTTCAAATCTGCTCGAAATCTCCCTTTTTCTAATAAATTTCTTGATATTAACCACAAAAAATGGTCCAATTTGATGCCTTCCGAAAAATGATAAACGAATCTAAAATTTTATAAAATTTTCTAAAACTGAATTAAGTAAATCTAAAATACAAATAACACCTTCTAAAATTAAGTTTACCAAGATAAAATTGAGACGTTCCTCTCTGTTTCTGAAATTCTTCTGGAGATGGTGCAGATAACATAAATAATGATAAAATATAGCAATTTAGATTAATTAAGTTAGATAATGTATAACACTATTATAAGTTGGTATACAGCGTGTTAATGAACTAATGAGGTAAATACACGGATTTATGTTGAGTAAAATGTAATTTTAAAATCTGACTTACCTCAACATTGCAAGGAGTCACCTTTTGAGAACTGCTTATTTTCATAGTATTTTCAAAAATTTTTCTTCTTTTTCTGTAGCACATATTTTGCAATTTCTTTGTTAGAAAATATTTTTGGAATAAGAGATCATAGTTTTGAATCAATTTTTAGGTATATTTAAATACATAATTTGGTCATAATATATGTACTAAGTATAAATATAAAGAACAACCTGCATATTTTTTTAATTTTTTTTAAAACATGAAAAATTATTCAAAATGTTCGAAGATTGTACTGTGAAAGACTTTATTTTATATTTAGATTAATAATGCTTTGTAAGGGGGTACTTATTGCGAGAAGAGGGGGTCATAGTATGAAATTGGCTAGTGATAAATTTTTCTTAACATACGCCCTGAATATTCGCGATTGCTAAATAAATGCGCCATTTTCAAAAAAAAGTTTGGAATTACGGCTATTAGGTAAATTGTACCTACTCTCGAAAAACAGCACAGCAATCAATTCAACATGTATTGCAAACTGACTTTCGAATACAGTCCGGCTTCATAAGAAATCTACAAACTCGTAAAAAGTGTTACAGAATTTTTTGTAGTTTTAAACACATTTTTAATTAGCTTTTTTCTCTATGACCTTAAACTTCCAATACAAGTTTTTGACATCAGTTATCTCGGTTTTTGCTCCTTTTTCACCATTTTAAATTTTTGACATAAGTTCATTAACACACTGTATATTAAATCTAAAATAAATTTTTAGGTCTAACGGGTGTTCTTCTTTTTGTCGTTATGTGTATAATCATAGTATTTGCTCATCCAACTATAAGGAAAAAGGCATACAAATTTTTCTGGTTTACACACAGCCTCTACATTCTATTTTATGGATTATGTCTGGTTCATGGATTGGCTAGACTGACTGGAGCTCCAAGGTTCTGGTTGTTTTTTGTAGGTCCTGGTATTATTTTTACCCTTGATAAGGTAAGTGATCAAATGCAGAATACTTGAAATTAATGGACATATTTATTTTATTTATTTATTTCAAACTTTGAAAAAATAATTTGGTTTGATGTGAAAATTAGCATATGTACTGAAACAGTCTGAATACAATTTGTTTAAAAAGCAATAAACAATAAATAGATTATTAATAAACATATATGATTTAGTACGGTATAGTTTTTTATGTTACTACTTAGGTATTTCTGAAATTGGTGCAATATACGAGGGTAAACGGGATTTTATTTAAAAAAAAATAAATGGCAAATATAATTTATTTGTCTACACAGTTTCCTGCTTTAGAAATATATTTTTCCCAGTGAGGAGAAAGGTTTTTCATCTCAGCATCGTAGAATAAAACTGGTTGCGTCAGGAGCCAATTGCGCACGCCCAAACAAATATAAATCACAGGGCGATAGGTCAGGGCTGTAGGGAGGATGATCAAGTTGAGTCCAGTGTATTTCTTCTAGTTTTGAAACCGTTAGAGCTGCAGTATGGGGCCTGGCGTCGTCGTGGAGGAGGATGACTTCTGGAATCGGTTAGTCTCGTCTTTTGCGGGCATATGCAGCCCTCACCACGTTCAACAGCTCGTAGTAGTAAGCAGCATTGATTGTGCGTCGCTCATGCAAAAAATCAATACGTAAAACACGTGACACACCTTGTGACAGTCAAGTCTTGGATTTCACTGGGGCTGCCTCCTCTTTCCTCCTCCATTCCATACTGGCTTGTTCCGACTCAAAAATGCACCACCTTCTTCCAAACGTTTCAACTTTTGATCTGTGGCCTGGCACACATTTTGCGGAACTATAAGTCGTTTGTGATGATCGCTTGGCAAACCTGTTCTCCGATTTCGGATACTCTCACCCGTCGATCATCTTCATGAATGTCTCGAACCGCAAGAATGTTTTCCTCTGTAGTGCTGATCCGAAGACGGCGATCGTGTTCCTGATTTTCCACCCGTTCGTCCTTCCTTGAACTCATTATGCCGGACAAAAACACGAGTCCTTGACAATGTTTGATCCCTGATCTATGCTTCTATCTCTAGAAAATTTCCGTCGCTTGAACTCCTTCAAGAGCAAGAAATTTTCACCTGCCACGTCTACTTCGTGAGCGCTACTAACGCATTGGTTGGAAGTGTGGAATTGCTGACTCTCCCCAATCCTAATGATCCCACCCAAGCATATTAAAACTGCGGGTTCAGTCTTACCAACCGTAGACACTCAAAAACAAAAATCCCGTTTATATTTGATTCTCGTATACTCGTATAAAAACTGTTTTTAATTTTAATTTTTAACATGTTTCCAATTTTTGATTACAAAAAAAAAAGTTAACTAGATATTTTAATGAGAATATTCCTGTAACATTTACTGACTACTTGACCAAACTGATCTTATCCCCGAGATGCGCAGATTAAAAAGAGAGTTCGCACTAAAGGTGACAAATGCAGAAGACCAAAGCAGGTTCAGACAGGTTCTGGTAACGTAGCCACTACGCAACTGAAACTCGCGAATAAGATGAATTTGGTCAAGCTGTATTAACAAACATATCAAATATGTACAATAAGTTAAAAAGTCTTTCATTAATCTGCTGAAAAATGTTGATTTTCGCGACTGTTAAAAAATTCTTTGACTTGTTTTAGGTTGTTAGTTTGAGAACAAAGTATATTCCCCTCGACGTAATTGAAACGGAACTGTTGCCATCGGATGTTATTAAGATAAAATTCTACAGACCACCAAACTTAAAGTACCTCTCAGGGCAGTGGGTTAGATTAGCTTGCACGGCGTTCAAAGTTCACGAATTCCATTCCTTTACACTTACTTCGGCTCCTCACGAGAACTTTCTATCTTGTCATATAAAGGCTCAAGGTGAGAAAATTACGATTTCATAGTTTCATGTTAGTCACTTAAAACTTATATTTTTTAGGTCCATGGACTTGGAAATTACGTAACTACTTTGATCCTTGCAACTACAATCCAGAAGATCAACCAAAAATTTTATTGGAAGGGCCTTTTGGTGGGGGAAATCAAGACTGGTACAAATTTGAGGTGGCAGTTATGGTTGGGGGAGGAATAGGCGTTACTCCCTATGCTTCCATATTAAATGATTTGGTCTTTGGAACGTCTACCAATAGATACTCTGGTGTAGCCTGCAAAAAGGTAAAAAAAGTCTTTCTACTGTTAAACAACTTTCGGACTGGTTGCCAAGTCGTCAGTTCAACTTCTTGATGTTCCGTAAGACATGTCTCTTCTCCAGATGAAACCTGATACTAAAGATTAAGTCTCTTGATGGGTATTTATCTTTGCAATGGTACTGGTCTGTATCATTTTGATCAATGGTTACTGTCTTGCTTCGTCCTAATCCTTAATTTTGACATATGAGTAATTTCCAGATTCCAGGTTCTAAACTTGTCATGGTTGAAATTACTTTGATGAATTTCCATGATTTAAAAATAAATAATCTTGACCAGAACATTCTTTCTCTTATTAGACTTTTGGTACTATCTATTGTTTCTACCGAGTACTCTACAACTGCTTACTTCTCTTCTTTGTTATTCTTTACGTTGCACTAGTGGAAATATGGGAATATTTTGGCTAAGACTTTACGGATAAGCAACAGAAATCCAGAAAAATCAAATATCAACCGAAACAAGAATTATCTAAAGAAAGCGACTCATACTTGAGTATCCTTACACCGGAATGCCACAGCAAATATAAATACCGACCAGGGGCGTTAATCTCCATTTTCAGAGTTTCTTTTGTAGGAAAGAGCCATCAATTATCTCTCGAAATGTAAAAAACTAACCCTACGATGTAACAACTATCCCAGAAATTATTTAACCAGTGATGACTGTCGCGGGAGCTTGCAAGTCAAGCCAATTTAATTCTAAAATTTCATCTGAACTCATTTTAGGTATACTTTCTTTGGATATGTCCCTCCCATAAGCATTTCGAATGGTTCATTGATGTTCTGAGAGACGTAGAGAAAAAGGACGTTACAAATGTTTTGGAGATCCACATATTCATAACCCAATTTTTCCATAAATTTGATTTGAGGACAACAATGCTAGTAAGTCAACTTATTTTTTTTATAATTTTCGTCTTATTATACCCATATTTTCTCTATTGCAGTATATTTGTGAGAATCATTTCCAACGACTGTCTAAAACTTCAATTTTCACTGGGCTGAAAGCAGTCAATCATTTTGGCAGGCCGGATATGACCTCGTTTCTCAAGTTTGTACAAAAGCGTCACAGTTATGTAAGTAATTAACGGTGTTGGACTAAAATTTTTAGTACTTAACAAATTCTTTCTGTTTTTATAGGTGAGCAAAATTGGTGTATTTAGTTGCGGACCTCGTCCCTTGACCAAAAGCGTGATGTCTGCGTGCGATGAAGTTAATAAGGGTAGAAAACTGCCGTATTTCATTCACCACTTTGAAAATTTTGGATAATGTATTTGATGTCTTTAGTACCTTTCAAAGTGTATATATGTACGAAACTGTGTTACTTCTAGGTGTATTTTATTTATATTTTTTTAAAATAAATTATTTGTTTTTTAATAGCAAGATTTTTCACTTAAATGCTCATATTTTACTATAAGTATTAAACCTTTTTTTCTTTTATACGACAATATATTCTCTTTCACTTTATTCTATTTCTATCTCAACTATGAATAGCAATTAATTTATTTTTCATTTATAAAAATTTTAAAACACAAAAAAACTATTGAACGATCAGTAGAGGCAATACTAGCACTAGATGAGCACTGTTTTGAGTTTTGACAATACCTTTATTCTAAGTACCTTGTAGACAACAATATGTAGTAGGCTTTTCCAAACCAACGTGATGGAAATTTTTAGCGTGTAACACAATTTCCGAGATAATAATATTACCGTCTATTCAAATTTAAAATATTTTGTATATTATACGATAAATATCAATTAAAAAATCAAATGGATAATTTTAATTCTTTAAAAAAATAATCTCATAAAAGTGTCAAATTTTTTATCTATCTATTGCATAACAAGTTTTAACAATATGTAATATTTTTTACAATGTATTCTTAAAAAGTGAATGATTTGGTAATCACTTTGTATGCCATTAGGTATACAAAATTCTGTATTTTAAAGTAGTACCTAATAAGTTATGAACCCTATTTATTCTTGACTCCGAAAATTAAGGTAGTGACTCATTCTTAACAAATAAATTTGTGCGACAGGTAAAGGCGAGTATCCACTTGTAGCAATGCTCCGTAACGTAACAATGAACATGTTTTACGGCCTGTTGCAAAAGGTGACACGGTTCGCTGCGAAAGTATGTGTGGTTTTGGTCGTATCATTCATTCCGTAACGTAGCCAAATAAGGTTACGAGACGACACAGGAACATAAATTAGCAGTATGAACCTGACTGCAATAATGGATTCGTCAGTGCAATTGCAGTTAGCAGCAGCGCCATATATTTTTATTCATCATACAATTTTGAAGAATAAGTAACGGAAATCTCCGGAAATCTTTTCTTTACTCCACTCCATGGCACAAACACTGACGAAACAAAAAATACGACAAAATCACATGTGCCACTGGCAACGTTACGGCCTAAAAGGTAACCCCGTTTCAACATGTGGCAGAAAGTGCTGTTGCATCCCTTTGATGCGACGATTAAAAACCGACAATTGATGGTTCGTCCCAGATTAGATACGCGTGTCAAATTTGTTACACGTACCATGCAACAATTTTCCGTCTCCACTAGCTGTAACGTAACATGTTCGGTGTTACGTTAGGGGGCATTTGACACAAATGTAAATCCGCCTTAAGGCATACAGAAAATGCAATTCCATGGGCGTCTCATTTTAGGAATATTATTAAATACAGGGTGTTTCTGAAATAAGTGCATTCTTTCAAATGGGTAATAGAGAAAGTAAAAATAAACATTTTTCGTTAAGCAGCTAGTGGTCTAAAATGTTTTATTTTCACTTATAATCTCCCTAGTGCTTGAAAATTTCCGTACATTAATTCAAGGACGTGAGGGATTCGGTACGAAAATTTTACAACTAAAATTTATTTTAAAAATTTGACATGTTTCGTTTTGAAACTCCTTTCGCCAAAATAAAGTTGGCTTGACAGACAAACATTGTTTTGTGGTGCATGACATAGAGACTCCCGATTAGAGATAGTAACATATATTTTATGCCATCACTTTTATTGAATTAAAAGTATTTTATAATAAAAAATGAATTTAAAAAATGGTACTAGCATGATCTAAATCGGTTTATTTTCCTTCAAGAACTCATTGGTTTCCCGATATCCTGTATATTAAAGAACAGAAGCTAATGGACTTTGGACAGTCGCTTGTATATTTCTCAAAAACTGTGTGTTTTCAGAGATTTCAACGAGAGTACCGTTGACTTCAAAAAATTGTGTCATAAAATGTCACTGAGTAAATCTGGATGCACATGCATGCGATCACGCGGATCCGCTGTAGCCACGTGACCATCAACATTCAATTAATTGTGCATCAGTAAAGCGAATTGACACTCCGTTGGATGTTGATGATCACGGTTACAACGGATCCAGGCTAAGGCTCAATAAATTAAATATCGTTTTTTAGCCCATTTATTAGGTCGTAGAGCTAGCGGTCTGACTGATGGTGGTCAGAAACTAGCTACACTTACGCAATTGACACCCTCAAAATGTCGTATAATCTGAACGAGCGAACTTCAGATTTCGACTATCTTTCGAATCCAAGTTCCAACGCCCGGAGCAGCGCTCCAGTACAAGCCCTCTATGTAAAACCTGAAGCTATAACAAACATATTCCACAATGTTTCCAACCCGGAAACCAAATCCGCTATCAGGAGCAAAAGGAAAGATTTCACCTATGTTTCCAATCCATACCTCAAAGTCCAGCATCAAGCTCCAAACCCGATTCCCAACATAGGAAATCAAAGCACAAGCACTACATTGCACAATGTTTCTAACTCTGAAGCCGAAGCCGCTGTCAGAGGAAAAAGTAAAACTTTCACCCATGTTTCCAATCCAAACCTCAAAATCCAGCACAGAGCTCCAAGCCCGATTTCCAACATAGGAAATCGAAGGCAAAGCATTAACTTACGCAATGTTTCTAATCCTGAAGCCGAAGTCGCTGTCAGGACGGAAAGTAAGATTTTCACCCAAGTTTCCAATCCGAATCCAAGAATCCCGGACAACGTCCTAAGTCCGATATCCAGTAACACAAACCAAGTCCTAAGCCATAATTTACACAAAGCTTCCATTCGCCAAGCCGATATCAATACCAGAGCGAAGACGGAAGAAATCGACAAGGTTTCGAATCCGGCTACTATCCAGCCGCCTCGAACCAAGAAGCAGCAGTATCCAAGGAAAACAAACAAAAACACCTATGTTTCAGATTTCCAGCATCGCAGAGCCGCAGTTGAGCCAAGCAAGCCAAATAACGAAAATCACCGATGTTTCCAATCCACCTGCGAGAAGCCGCAAATCATCAAAAATGCGCCCTCTGGTGATGGAGACGAGTTAGGCCACATCGAGGACGACCGATGCGAAGCCGACAACGCGCCAGCAGCCACCTTCCAGGGAGTCAAGAATTCGACCCACTTTCCAATGGTCCCCGGCCTTGCAGGGAAGCACCGGTCAAGAAGAGGGAGAAAATTCGTAGAAAAAACCCGGGAATCAACCGCGGATCAAGGCCGCGAATCACCTACCGAGATGGACCGTCAACTGCAGGCATTTGCAGTTATTTAACCGGATCGACGTATCCGGCCAGTCTCTGTGTGGGACGCTCCAAATTTTAGTTGCGACAGTAAAGCCTCTACAGTCATTATTACAGCCTTTCGCACACATTTAACCTATTGTTAGAGTCAGATTTATGTTAATAAATATATATATATAACCTAACCTACCTCTTATCTATAAAAGAAAGGTAAAACGTCGCCCGGGCATTTATTTCTGACCCGCGGCAGACCCAAATCACGGGCCATTAGCCAGCCCTATCATAAAGTGTTAGATATAAGCTCTAGTGAAGTGCATCAAACCGCCCCTATAGTTATCAGAACTATATGAGCGTAGTGTTTACCTCTAGATATATATAATTATAAGAATTATATATACAAACTACCTAATCAACGGCTCTCATAGCCGCCTAAGCTCAAATATCAGAGATAGCGGGACGTATTGGCGCTTAAAGTCACTTTTCACCTATCTTTCCAATACCGATCCTATATCTCATATCATTCTTATCCAAATTCCCTTTGTTAGAGTCAAACCTCTCTTACATCCTATCTAAGGGAACGACAAGTTGTTACAAATTAGATCGCGTCCTCTCACCTAGCCATGCCTAAGCGCAATATTACCAGGTTAGCTACATCTCGAGCAGAGTCCAGCGCGACAGCGCGAGAAGCATATAACATGTCCAGAAACCCTGAGAGCCGCAACCTAATGGTAAGTGCGACACGGGATGATGAGGTACGACGACAAAAAACTGACCGCTACCAAGTTTCAAGGTACCTATGTTTTTATCTCTTTTTTTGTAAAAGATATATATCCAAAATTTACAACGTTTTCATAATTGTCTGCACTTTTGCACTCAGGGCGCATTGAGACTATTTCCATCTTTTATTATTCGATTTGATAACACAGGATAAGGTATACAGTGGGTATGTCTTTGTCCTATACTATCAACTTAAATAAATGAGAATGGAAATATTCTCGCTTAAAAAGGATAATCTGGTTAATTTTTCAACCCCAGTTCAACGATTCCTGATTCTTATTGTAGAATTATGCAGTAAATCTGCTCAATTGTAGGTATGCAATTATAGTAAAATAAAGTTAAGGTCTTTGAAAGGCAAACTGAAAACTAAATATCCAGGTAGGTAATTTCTGATTCATGGCCATGGAGACTATACATATCTAGTCTCCATGTTCATGGCCTTTGATTTTAACGACAAGCATCGGTATCGGGCACCTTCATTCTGCCTCTGTATAAAGAGCCGAGATCCGATTCAGATCGACCCTTAGCTGGTTCACTTGGATCAGTTCAAAGAGTCGGATCAATGAGCGAGATCAGTTAGGTCTAAAAGCGAAAATTCTACCACCTTTACTTAAACTAGTTCAGTCTGCCTTGTACAGTTATGGTAATCTATGGGTCTCGTTCATTAAAATGAATAGTTTACAAAATTTAGTCCTTTAGTTCGCTTTAGATCACTTATTACTAATTACTACATAATTCACTCTGAAATTCCATTTTGATAACGGATCCAACTGCATAAATAAACTCAAAGTTGTTGAAAAACTTACAAGTTAAAATACATAATTCAGATTCAACAGGTGGATTATTCTATATTATAAAACATTAATTAACTTAAACCCTTAAATTATAAAAAATTCGAGTTATTTTTGCACAATTTGCTATAAATATCAATTTATATCATTTTAATTTAAAAAATATTAAGTAAATATATTTATTTTACTATTTAGCAAGTTTGTAGGCATATAATTAAGTTTATAACATATTTTTAGTAAAAAATTAAAGTT